TTTTCATTATTTTTACTTTATTAAAAACAGTTACAAGCTGTACAAATTACAGATGAATACACATACGTAAACATATGCACACAAGTAGTACACAAGAATTGGCTTTCCGAATATTAATTAAAAAGACACATGCCAAGGGTATTCTTATATCTGTGGACAATGATTGCCATATCAGTTATACAGTTAAGAAATGTATTATCTATATAATCTAGTCACGTAACGATGACAGAAATCATAGTGCTGATAGTTATATAAAAAGAAAAATAATGGATATCATAGCTATGATGACAATAACAACAACAACAATAATAATAAAAATAATAATAATAATAATAATAATAATAATAATAATAACAATAATAATAATAATAATAATGACAACACTATTAATAACAACTACTATTATAATAATAACAGAAACAATAATAACAATGACAATGATGATATTAACATTACTAATATCATTAATAATGGCACAGCACCATGATTATCATTAACATAATTATAACCATGACCGGAGTAATAATAATAACAGGAATGAAAATAATGGTCATGAGCAATTATTAATTTGCATCATCATTAGTATAATTTTACCTGTTATCATTCCTTGTTTTATCATTATTATCTTCACCATCATTATCACACTGTATTTATAATTATCATTATTATTATTGTGATCGCCATGAATATAATTATGAGAATATTGTCTCACTTCCTTAATTATGCAAATAAATTTTTGTTTTGCCTTTCGTTGTTCTTTTTTTTTACAGGAAAAAAAATCGAAAGAATAAATAAAAGAATTAGTTTAACTTATAATTACAATCATATTTAAGATTCTTCAAAAAATGAGAAACGGTATGGGTTTATAATTCTTTTTTCTTCTTCTTATAAATAGTAAGTAAATAAATAGGTTAGAGGGAATACCTGTAATTTTCATAATAAATAATGTTAAAACAATTTTAAACCTTTTAATGGTTTTTATACGCCTTCGATTTTGTATTTTATCTCAATTTCATATGATTAATGTCGTTTTAATTTTCTTCTTCGTCTTCATGCATTATCTCCTTTGTCTTCTTTATCGTCTTATTCTCCATCTTTGCTTTCAGTCCTTTCACTTTTGTACTACGGAATATTGCAACGTAAAAAAAAAAACGAAAACAGAAATTAAAAAAAAAACACTACATCTTGTTCTGAAGATGTACAGTACCAACATGCACACAGCACCACCAACACCCACTTACTGTATTTACAAGCTAGTGAGTAGCATTTCTCTTCACACTCGCGTCATTCAGAAATGTTTATGCATGGAACTCGGTTTCCATTCACAACGTCTGAAAAAATCTATGAATGAAATCGGTTGCCATTCACAACATCAGAAATAATTAAGAATGAAACCTTATTTCCATTCATAACGTCTGAAATATTTATGAATGAAACTCAGATCCCATTCACAATGTCTGAAATAATTATGAATGAAATCCTGTTCCCATTCATAACGTCTGAAATATTTATGAATGAGAGTTCGTTCCCATTCACAACGGCAGAAATATTTATGAATGAACACATCTCGCAGTCACAAATGTCTTACGCATTATCGCAATTACACACGGAGATGAACGATAACATCTGTGCGAACGCGGCATAGTTTGGGGGGAAATATTTGCAATAATAGCAATACCATATTATAACAATGAACAGCTTCTTAGGCACATCTCTACAACCTGATACTTACACGCACGCATATATTTATATACTTTATCTATATATAAAAAAAAGTGATCTAGAACTCTAAATAAAGGAAACATTAACACTAACATTAAATATTTACAAGAGATTTTGCCCCGTTAAAAAAATAGATATGAAATGGAGAGATGCTCGAAACGCCGAGGAAAAGGAAGTGAGGGGAGACCACGGCAATCTTCCCCAGAGCAAGGTCATTGCACCAACCGATCTAGATAAGATTCGTGTTCTCTTTCTCGTTTTTCCTTTCTTTGTTGAGAGAGTATTCTTTCATCTTTCGTTGTCTATTTACTTTTTGCACTTATTCCACTTTCCTTTTCTTTGTCGTCTTAAAGAGAATCGGTTTTCCGCTTGGCTTCCTCCGTCCCCGAGGAGAGGGAGAAGGAGGGCTTCGTTGTGGGCAAAAGAGAATCCTTATTTCGTCGAGTAAGAGACGGCGTCCGCCTCGAGCACGGGGCCCGCGGCGGCGTCAGGCACAGTGATGTCGTCTAGGTCGGCGAGGAACGACTATCGGTGGTCGTGTTCGCTCTCGGGAGGGTAGCCCATGTAGTAGGGGTTGTTGGCCGGGTAGTAGCTGCGTCCGCTGTGCGCGCCCACCGTGCCGTAGGCGGGCGGGATGGGCGTGGTGGGCGGGGGCATCATCTTAAGAGTGCCGGCCCGCGAGGAGGCAGGAGGCGGAAGGGTGGGGTAGGGCCCAGGGTAGCCCCCCCAGCTGCTGGGCGGGTGCGGGGGCTTGAGGCAGGTGCAGTTGCCGTGCTGCCGCATGGCAAGCGGTCCTGCCAGGGGGCCGCCGCGGTATTGCGCGTCCGAGCGGAGTCTGATGAGGCAGATGATGATGATGAGCAGCGCCACGAAGGCCACGACGCCCCCAACGATGCCGATGATGACGGTGTCCATGTTGGTGAGGCCGCCGGCGCGCGCGGGCTTGCTCAGCTTGCCGTCGATCTCGTTGTGCCTGTCGCTCGGGCGCCCCGTCATGTCCTCGTAGGTGATGATGTTGTCGGTGGTCACGAGCTTCCGGAGCGTCGTGGTGAAGAGGGGGAGGTCGGTGGTGGTTGTGGTGGGGTGGCCCTGACACGTGAGGTCCTCCTCCTTGAGCGTGGTGAGGACGACCCCCTCGAGGGAAGGGGGCGCCGAGCAGGAGGCGTTGTAAAGGGCGTCGCTGGGCCCGCGCTCGACCAGCCAACGGCGGAGGGACACGGTGTTACAGTCACAGAAGATCGGGTTGGACGTGAGGCCTTCGAGCTCCAGGTGGCGCTGCCGTGAGTCCAGCGTGTTCAGGAACTGCGGACTCAGTGACGTGATGCCAGAGTGGGACAAATCGAGGGAGATCTTGGATGACATCGGCACCGGGAAGAAGATGTTGGAGCCAAGGTTGCTGACGCTGGTGTTTACGATGCCGATGGTGAGCTGAGGACTGTTGATGCCCGCGAAGGCACCCGCAGAGAGCGCCTCCACTGAGCGGCCGCGGACGGTGAGGCTCCTGAGACGCGGGTAAAAGGCTGGATGGAGCTGGTCATGAACTTCTTTGCTGGTCAGCTCAATGTCCACGACCTCCAACCCCGGAAGATCCTCGAGGATGCCCCTTACGTCCAGCACTCTCAGCATGGGAAGAGTGTGGAGATGCAGCTCATGGAGGGAGCGCAGCGATGTCAGCGCAGCTCGCTCTATGCGGTTGACGCGCGGAAGGTGAGCCACACGCAGGACCTCGAGGTTGCCCATGTAGTTGAAGTCTCCACGGACAATGTATGCCAGAGGGTTGTGCGAGATGTCGAGCTCTCTCAGGTCAGGGATCTTGGGCGAGGCACGAGCAAGGCCGTAGCTGAGGTTTGGAATCTGGTTATGGGACAGGTCTAGTACCTGTAGATTCTGCGTCAGCTCAAACACAGATTCCTTGATCTCTACAATGTTATTGTCAGAAAGGTTGAGTGACAAGAGGAAGCGAGCTTCAATGACTGGTACATCAGTCACATTCGTGCCAGCCAGGTTGAGGTGCCTCACTGTCTTGGGTTCGTTCAGAAGGATGAAAATGGCTTCCTGATTCAGCGGATTGTATGACAGGTCGAGCTCCTTGATATTCACCAAAACATCTGCATTACTGGGTACGCTCTCAATCTTATTGTTAGACATATTGAGGTCACTGAGGAAGAAGTACTGCTGCCGGAGTGTGTTGACCGGTACCTGGGTGAACAGGTTATATGCCAGGTTAACTGACTGAAGCTTCTCAATCTTCATCCTCTGGAAGATGAGTTCCGGCAATGAGGAGAGCTTGTTGTGGCTCAGGTCGAGGTGCAGCCGTGTGATGCCAAGGAACACGTCCGTGGGCAGCTGCTCGATGTTGTTGTGGCTCAGGTTGAGATCCTGCAGCTGGGAGGAGTTCTGGAAGGCCGTTTCAGCAATGGTCTCGATGCCGTTGTTCTGCAGGTTGAGCTCTCGAAGGCGCGGCGAGTTGGTGAAGTCGCTGCTCTCAAGGGTCTTGATGGCGTTGCTCTCGACGTCAAGGTGCTCGAGCTGCGCCAACTCCTGCACGATCTCGGCCGGGAAGAAGGACAGGCGGTTGTGGGCAAAGCTGAGCCACGCGAGCTTCGGGTGCAGCTGGAAGGCCTGAGGCTGGAGGAACGTGATGTCGTTGTGGCTCAGGTCAAGGATCCTCAGCTCGGTTCCTTCCGCGGGAATCGTCAGCCGGAAGTACTTCTGCTTGAAGGACGGCAACATATTGTTGTTGAGGCGCAGGATGTGCAGAAGGGGAATGTTAAGGAACGCCCCCTCGCCCACGCTCCTGATGACGTTGTGGCTCAGGTCGAGAGTGTGCAGGAAGAGCAAGTCCTTGAAGGAGTCTCGCGGGATCTCCATGATCTTGTTGTGCTGCAGATTGATCACGTTGATGAACGACTCGTTGAACTGGCCGGCCTTGATCTCCTCGATCCGGTTCGCGCTGAGGTCGAGCGTGGACAGCTTGGACACGGGGTGCAGCAGGGTGACGGGGAGGCTCGTCAGGTGGTTGTGGCTGAGGTCGAGCGTGCGCAGCTCGGGCAGGAGCACGAAGGCGTCGGACGGGAGGGCGCTGATGTTGTTCCTGGAGAGCACCAGCGTGTCGAGCAGCGGGAAGTCGAACTGTGGCAACTCGCTCAGCAGGTTCAGGCCGAGGTTGAGCTCCTTCAGGCTCTCCCGCAGGCCCAGCAGGCTCTCGGGGATGAGGTTCTGGAGCTTGTTGCCGTACAGGTTCAGACTCTGCAAGTCGGTGAAGTTGGTGAAGGTGC